CCCCAAACCAGTCACCACTCCCCTCCCTTCCCCTTCCATGTCCCGCAGGCCTGTGAGCCCTGTGGTTCCTACCTGCTACTGCCAACAACTCACAGCCCAAGCCCTGACCCTGGCCCACTCCCAGGCCAGAGCAGAACAGCTGGAAACCGCTTACAGCCCTGAACCCGGTCTGCCGTGTGCCTACTCCTGCTCACCCGTCCATGCTGAGCAGCGGCAGCAGCCAGACAAGCTGCTGCTTGGCATGGGGGAAAAGAGCCCTTCCCCTTCACTGCTGAGAAGTGCTCCTTGGTGTAGCTGCCTAGAGCCCGTGCTTAGACTGCCCTGCAGCTCCTCTCTGCCACTGTCACTGCTGCCTCTGCCCAGTTGAGGCAGTGGTAGCAGTGCAGAGGAGCCGCAGGGCAGCCTGGGTGTGGGTCCCAGGCGGCTGCAGCAAGAAGGGCCTGGCAGCGGTGAGGGGGAGGGGCTGCTTTTCCCCAGCACCAAGCAGCACTTTCTGCCCAGCTGCTGCTGCTTAACATGGGTGGGCGAGTCTGGAGCAGGCACAGGGTGGGCTGGGGTTGGGGCTGTGTGTCTTGGTTCTGGCTGCTCTGGAGCTGGTCCAGTCCACTCCTCTGGGCCAAGTCCAGAGCGGGCATGGGGCAGTTTGAGGTCAGGGCTGTGCGTGTGAGTCCCCACCAGTACCACAGGGCTGGGGCCAGCAACAGTGGCAGCCAGAAGGTGCCACCACTGCCTGGGCAGCCTAGAAAAGTAGTCCAGCTGTGGAGCTGCTCAAGCTCTGCTGTGTGCCCAGGGGGTGGCAGGCCAGGACGGTGCCTAGGCCAGGTAGGACCCAGGGACCTGCCACGGGAACCCCTGGTTTAAGTGTAGGTTGATGTTTGTTCAAATACGAGTGCTCAATTTTGTAAGCTCCTAGGAATGGGGTGGGAGGGAATTCTGTGCATTACTCATTAATACTAAACCACTCGTGCCTAGTTAGGGGGTATTTATTTGTGTGTGTACTTGGGTGGGGGGAGGGAATAGCATCTTGAGTCCTGAAGGGGTTGTTTGTAAAAGTATTGGATTGGAGTATCCATTTCTGTGATACCATAAGGGACATTTACAGTAGTTGAGGAATGCAGTAGCATTCTTAAGTGGAACAGCATGTGTCATGTGCCTTTGCCTCTACTCGAGGCAGAAGCATGTGCTGTATACACTTAGAGCAGGATTGGCTTACTTTTATTTTATTTTTCCCCAATTCTAATTGTCTTAAAAATGTGTCCAGATCCTGGTCTGCTCTGGATGAAATGTATGATTACATGAAGAGCCAAATCCTGTGGCCTTATTCAGGAGTCAGGACTACAGAAAGGGGTTGTCTTTTAGTGTTCCCTATCAAACAAGAAACTCAGAAAAGACATTCAGCATTACTAATTGACTTTTCTGTTTTCTGTTTCCTTCCTTCCACCTTTTCTGATGCTCCTGGCTCTCCCAGGTTTCTAAAGTCAACGGGATCACTCGGATGTCATCTCCGGGTGCAAATGCAGCCAGTGCCAAAAAGATGAGAGAAGTCAGACCTTCACCGCCCAAAACTGTGAAGTATACTGCAACAGTGACAAAGGGAACTGTCACGTACACCAAAGCCAAGAAAGAACTGGTCAAGGAAACCAAACTAACTCACCACAAACCCAGTTCACCTGTTAACCACACAATCTCAGGGAAAATAGAAAGTAGCAATGCAAAAACCCGCAAACAGGTGCTATCCCTTGGAGTGTCCAAGTCCAACGATACCGCTGTTAACAGTGTAAAGGTCAATGGCAAGTTGAACCAAAAGACATGCACTAAGGAGGTGGGGAGACAGTTGAGGGAGGGGCTTCGCAATTCTAAGAGGAGGCTGGAAGAGACGAATCAAATAGACAAAATACAGTCGCCCACCAAGAAGATCAAAGGGGCAATTAGCTTAACGGAAGCTGCAAGCAAAAAGGCAGTTGTGGAAAAGCCTTTGCTGAATGGACATGTAAAAAAGGAAGTGCCGGAGAAGAGTTTGGAAAGAAATAGGCCGAAAAGAGCCACTGCTGGAAAGAATACGCCAGGGAAACAAGCACACGGCAAAACTGAAAATGCCTCCTGTGAAAATCGTTCTACCTCTCATACTGAGTCCTTGCACAAACCACAAGAATCGACGGGAAAGCACGAAAAGGGCAGCAGTAAGTCTGGGTGGGGGATGCTGGGGGAGATTCCCATCCTCAGGCCCTCCGCCAAGGAGTTCCACGACCCGTTGATATACATTGAGTCAGTCCGAGCTCAGGTAGAGAAGTATGGGATGTGCAGGGTGATTCCTCCTCCAGACTGGAGACCTGAGTGCAAGCTGAACGACGAAATGCGGTTTGTGACGCAGATTCAGCACATACATAAGCTGGGCAAGCGCTGGGGACCCAATGTGCAGCGGTTGGCCTGTATCAAGAAGCACCTCAAATCTCAGGGCATTACCATGGACGAACTCCCACTCATAGGTAAGCACTGTTCTTCCACTGCCCCTTGCCCACAGTTTGTAGGCCATTGAGTGTTAAACTTTATGCTTCGTTTGCTTTTGGGATTTAAGCGAACCCTTGTGAAACTACAGGACACTAGAAACATCTGTGTTGTTTTTTTTTTTTTTTGAAGACCAGGTGCAGTGCAGGTGGTTGCAGTGCAGTCTTCTGTATAATGCTTCACACGGGCAGGTTAATCCCACCTTGAATTTTCATTGATTTTTTTTTTTTTTCAAAGCCTGGTTATGAGTATTCCCACTTACTCTTAAAAATAAGCATATTCTTAGCTTAATGTTGCACTGGAAGGTTTTAGGGGCTTCCCAAGGAGGTTTTCTGTTACAATTTATGTAGTGCTGCTAAACTGGAAAACAAATACTCCTTCCCTTCCCCAGATTTCCTTCCTTCAAAAGCATTTAACCAAGGGGGAGAGAAGTCTTTGAACTGACTTCTTTTTGGATATCTAGACACTTAAAAGCACACGTTTCCAGTGACCTGCAGACATTTAACAATCATTAAGTGTCAAGAATAGGTAGTTAAAATGTGGTTCGTTGCAAAATGGAGGTTTCATTATTTCTCTCAGCAGGTGGTTGCCTGAGCAAAAATCATTTATTTAAAAGAATTTGTGGTTTATGGTCTGCTGTCAAATATGACATGTGTGATAGAAATGTGACAGTGCTTTGTAAAGAACATTCATGCAAGTAAAGGAAAACAAACTATTGGATCGTAAGTGTGGCTTTTGATCTCTAACCAACTTCACATTTGCTGTCTGTAAGCAGCATTGAAAAATGAATACATTTATCTTTCAGTAAACACTTGTATATTTAACTTCTCACTGAGTTCAAGCTCATGGGATCTTAACATTGTAGCCTGAGGCATTAGTTTTGCCTTTGAGACATTATTCCCTCTGAGACTGCTATCTGTATTATTTTATTTAAAATGCACTTTTTTCCCCAGTTAGAGTCAAATTTCTGTTTGGTTTTCAACACATAAATAGAATAGTGGGGAAAAATAGAACCCTACAGAAATTGCAAGATAGATAATGAACCAAGAACTCCTCCATAATGTGTCGTTAAATATTACAATAGAATTTTGAGGAGGAATTGGGATCTATATTCTACTGTATTGTCTAGGCAGAAAAGTAATTTGACTGTAATGTTAAGATTGTAAAATCAAATATGCAACATTTTAGGGATTCCTAAAAGTTAAGATTACTCTGTCAGCACTACATCAACCCTTTTGTATACCTGTTGTACACTATGGATGTATATTAAAGTGAAGTTAAAACTGGCAATGGAAACAAGAGCTGTGTGTGTACAAGATGGCTAAGTTAAGACTCCTGGACCAGGGTTAACTCTTTGTTTCTTGATATTTTTTTGTGTGTGTGTGTGTGTGTGTGTGTGTGTGTGTGTGTCCCTGACCTCACAGCCTTCTGATTGCATTGATGGTATTTATTTACATTATCGTAAGCCTTAGGAGCTTTATTTATGCATCAGAACCTGGATGCTAGGTGCTGTATAATCAGAACAAAATAATACATCCAGTCTCATGGAGCTTATGCTCCAACTAACCTATTTGCATTTAAACATAACATATATAGGAAATTAAAATGATGCAGAAAGGGAGAAAAGAACCTGGAGATAATCAGCTCACACAGGTTAGAAACCCGTTGGCTTCAGTCTCGGATTTAAAATTATTTTCCAATAGTAGAGGTATATTCAAGGCTTGGCATTAAATGCATGCCTGAAAATTTAAGATTTTGTTTTAATGAGCCTGCTTGCTATGTGACTTTTACATTTTCCCACCCCTTCAAAAGAAGCTGTTTTTTTTTTTTTTTTTTTAAATAAA